TTTCCCATGACACATCCTTGCGGGTCAAGGAATTTGGAAAACAGGTTTTCCCACGAGGCCTCCCCCTTCTTTTTTTCTTATATGCCTTTCAAAATGAGACTTCCTTAAACATATCTTGAGTTAGTTGTGCTCATTTCATTGGTCACCTTGAATTGTTGAACATTTGTCATTTTTATGCTTTGTATATTGACCCCATAATTATTTTTAGTATCAATGATTATAATAACCTGCCAAGTGGCTTAAAAGGGTTTCATATCTGATGAAATCTGAATTCTTTCCAGAGCTATCATTTGTTTCAAATATGAGCAATATGATTTCAGTCCTTTTACCTGGACAGTTTTTCTCCTTCTATTGATTTCCTGCCTCTCCAAGAATAATGTTTTTTAGAAAAGGCAGTTCCAGTTTGATAACTATTACTATATTACACACACACACACACACACACACACACACACACACACAGTACTGAGTGCCTAATGTTCAAGGTACTGTTCGAAGTATTTTAGGAAATTGAAAGATGAGCATGTTCGATGCTTTCTGCTGCAAGTAACAATGACAAAGACATATTATGAAGACATTGTTAATATAAAGACATTTATTATTTTGCTAAAAAGAAATCCAGAGGAAGACCAGTTCCATGAATGGTATAATGGCTCAATGATGCCTTTTAGCTTTCTGCTTATCCCTCATTGATGGGTTGGCTTTTTTCTTCAGGATTATATATTAATGTTCACATGATGTCTTAGCTCTAGATATCATGTCCTTATAGAATCACATACAACGGCAGAAAAAAAAATCGCAGTTTTCCTTCATCTATCTCTTTTCATCAGGGAAGAGAATTTATCTTAGAAGTCTCTGGCACATTTCCTTCATCTGTCACTGGCTCAGATCAAGTTAGTTGCCTATAGCTGAGCTGGAGGGAACCTGGAAAAAATATCTGCCATTTCCAGTATATATTGTGGAAGTATGTGTGTGTGTATTGTTGGACAGACAACCAATAGTGTCTGCCACAAGGAATATGATGAAACCTCAGTCCTCCTTCAAGCAGCTTTGTGTCTCTTGGGGTGGAAAGACAAGCTGTAATTATACTACAATTTCTGTGCAGTAGCTTCCTGGACACACTCATGGGCTTCAAATTAAAGGTCCCTTTCAAATTGATCAAAGAAAACTGCTCTAGTTACTTTCTATTTAGAGCTGCCAAAAGCTGTCCTCTCTCATTGATTTTAAGTGATGCTCTCTTTCTTCAAAATGCTCTTGCCCTTCCATCTCCACATGTCCGAGTTCTAGTGAACCTTTGAAGGAAGCTAAGAATAATCCTCCTAATTTATTTGATGTATTCAGCAAATACCTGTTACATGCTTACTATGTAGCAAGCACTTTGCAAGTGTTAGAAATACAGGACCTGAGTTCTGATCTCATGGAACTTACAGTCTGGTGAGGAAGACTGACAATTAATAACAATTAAGTGATGGGGAAGAATAGATACAATGGGTGGACAGGCAGTCTAGTCTGTTTGTAGGGAATGGGAGCAGACAGAAGTCTTGGAGATTTTTTTAAAGATGATACCTGAAAGATGAGTAGGAATTGGGGAGAGGAAACGGGAACAAGTTTCAAAGTAAAGAGAATGATGTGTAGAAAATTATGGAGGTAAAATTGGTGGTGAAAGCACCCTTGAAAAAGGTCTTTTTAATTCCTCCTTCTCCCAAGTAATTTCTTTATTTGCTCTGAAGGCAAAACATATAATTTGCACAGAGTTCTTGATAAATATGAATGCAGCTTCAGAGGAGAATGTGTCAAGGCAAAAGGCTAGCTTAAACCATTAAAACATCTGAGGCAAGAGGTGGATTATACCACACCTCTCTTCAAAATGATAGGAATAGCATCACTTGTCTAGGTGACTACAGAAACCAAAGCAGCAAGGAAGAATTGATTCATAAAGTTCTAGAGGAAGTACAAAGTAATTATAGTTGCAATCCTCAGATGTTGCTTTAAAGGCTATTTCAGGAAACATAATGAAAACCTGGTACCCAACCGAAGGAAAAACTAGCAACTCTTGTTTGTAAGAGCTTTTCTTTTTAAGTAGACTCTTCATATTGGCTGTTCTTTATGTGTGCCAGGTCTGGGTTACTGGTAGAGAAAGTCTTTCCAGACCTGACAAGCTACATTTAAAATAAAATATTAAGGAGAAAGGGGGAAAAAAATCAAATGAAATATCAAATGTCCAAATCATGACTCAGGTTTTTACTATTTCATTTTAGATGAGTGTTCCGAACTCTTTCTGCCACTTAGCTGAGAGGAACCAGAATTAAGTAAATTTTGAGAAAGGAAGAGATTTCAGGATATAACTAGTGTCTTGATAGGCTAGAATAGATCGTATTTTGTCAACCTTTACTTCTCCCCTTAATTTATTCTAGTTAGGTAATTCATCCTTAGTTTGAGAAGGCATTTGTTTGATCCTGCCATTTCTATAGCTAAGTAAATAATAACCCCCAAATAATGAGAAAAATTATATAAAGGTGTTTTGTAAATGGTGAGACACTATACATACATATAAGGACTTATTTTTTAAAATTAACTTTGGAAGTATTTTTGATACTAGTTTTTAAAAGTGGCCTTTGCAAGGGCAGGGATTACTTTTTTGGATGCTGTCCCATAGTACAGTCAGGTATGGCTGAAGTATGGTGAGGTGTGGATGTCAAATTTCCTAATTTGGTGATTCTTAACCTTTTATTTATTCATCTTTTATTAATTGGCTTTATTTGTTTTCCTTATCTACGTCCTTCACTGCCCCGCTACCTTCTGTAACCATTATACTGTTGTCTGAGTTCATAAGTCTTTGTTCTTCATGTGTGTTTGCTGCTTTTAGTTTTATATCCCACGAATAAGTGAAATCATATGGTTCTCAACGTTTTCTTATTTCGCTTAGAATAATAATCTCAAGACCCATCCATGTTGTCGCAAATGGCAGTATTTCTTTTCTTGTGGTTGAGTACATCGTATAGTGAGTATATTCCATTGTATATACATACCAAATCTTTATCCAATCATCTATTGAAGGGCACTTTGGTTGTTTCCATGTCTTGGCCACCATGAATAATGCTGTGGTGAATACTGGGGTGCTTTAGGATATTTTCAAATTTTGGGGATACATATCCAGAAGAGGGATTGCTGGGTCATATTGGTAATTCTAATATTCTGAGGCACCTCCATACTGTTTTCCATTGTGGCTGTACCTATTTACATTCCCATCAGCAGTGTATAAGTGTTCCTTTTCCCCCACAACCTCTCCAACAGTTGTTATTACCTGTCCGGTTGATGATACCCATTCTAACAGGTGTGAGGTGGTATCTCACTGTTGAGTTGTATTAGTTCTTGTGTATTTTTGATATTAGACCCTTATCGGAGGCATTGTTCGCAAATCTTTTCCCATTGAGATGGCTGCCTCTTTGTTTTACTGGCTATTTTTTTAAGTTTTGTATTTAGAGAAATTGAGCAGACAGTACAGTAAGTCCCTATATACCTCTCCCCTAGTTTCTTCTATTACTATCTTACATTAGTATATTTGTTGATATATTAGTATATTCATTGATACCAATATTGATACATTATGTTGATCATTATAATTAACTAATGTCCATCTTTATTCAGATTGCCTTAGTTTTTGCCTAGTGGTTTTTTTTTTTTCTGTTCCAGGATCTCATTCAGCTTAGAACTTATGTTTGGTTGTCATGTTAGCTGTACCCACATCACACTTAGTTCTCATGTCTCCTTAGGCTCCTCGTGACACTAACCTGTATCTTCTGCATCATGAACTAGGTTGCAAATCTGCTGAACGCAACGGATTCTCTCATGCTGCAGATGTCTAATTTAAGGGAGGTTCCATAGTAGATTCAGAAGCCCTACTTCAGGAGGAATGGGTGCTCTTTATCCCTTTCCCTCATCTGTGCTCAAAGACAGGCTCTACCTCTAATTTATTGTGCGACCTTTTTGCAAAGCTATTTTCTTATGTGGACCTCAGTTTCCCATCTGAGAAATGAGTTTGTTTTAACATGTTTAAATCCTTTTTCTAGCACAGAAGGTGCCACCTAGAGTTGTCAACATCTGAGGAACAAAGGCTGGTAACGGAAGACCAAGGCAGGTCAAGCCAAGGAAATACTGGGCTTATTACTAAGGAGGTTGCAGAAATTCGGGGGCCGGGGGTGGGGGAGGAGGGGGGTAGGAGAAGGGGTGTGTGTGTGTGTGTGTGTGTGTGTGTGACAAAACCTAGGTTCCACTTTGTGCATTTTGTAAGTCATTTCCTTCCTCTGAGCGTGTTTCCTCATCTGCAAAAATGTGGAGGCTTTGCTTCTTGTAGTTATGAAACTCCTGGGAGAAAAGAGCAGAGAATGTACCTAGTGTGAAGATTTATGATCAAAAGAAAATGAATAAGATGGGTACGTTCACGGGTAAAGGGAGGATGTGAGGAATGCGAGGCAACGCTGAGGGCCCAGAATAGAAGAACCAAGTCCATATCTTAGGGCTCTCTGACTACACTTGTAATGGCTGTGTGCAATTCCTTTCATTCCGGCCTCACCTCCGCACACCCCTTCCTTTCAGGCTGCGACGCGCCACACTTCGCATGGCCGCCACCGTACAACGCATTCCACTGAGCGACATCCGCTCGCGTTCTCTAGCGCCGCTACCTCACTCCTTTGGTCTCTCCCGGTTGGCTCATCTCGAAAGTGACGTATTCCACCCTCCTCCTTATTCCACCCCCGCAATTGCTCCGGACTCCGCCCCGCCTCCCCCTTACTTCTGACGCGAGCCGAAACCAAACTTGCCGTCGTCTCCCCCGCGCGGTAGGAGGCTGCAGAGCGGGTTAAACCAGAAAGGCCCTGGCAGTGGCGCGCACGCGCACGCACGCACGCACGCCGGCGCACGTAGCCACACACACATTCTCTCTCTCTCTCTCCCCCACTTCTTCCCACCCCCTCTCTCTCACACAATTAATACAAAGCAGGTTGGGCTGCGGCGGCGGCAGCTGTGGGAGCTGAGGCACTGCGTGGTAGAGGTCCCAGACGTCTGCGGCTCTGGCTCCGCAACCCTTCGCCTCTCACCCGGGTTCTGAGAACCGAACGGCGCTAGCCTTGGGAACTCGTGGCTTCTTCCGACACCGCCCTCCTTCCTTTCCGAGCCGCGGGCCTAGCTCAGTGCCAGGCGACTCCGCAGGGAGGTGGCGGCGACGGCTGCCTGTCTGTGAAGAGCAGTCCTGTCCCCCAGCCTTGCTTCGCCGCCGGGCCCTACAGGGGCCGAGAGAGCCTGCCCTTCCCTTCGCCCTTTTGGTCAACTGGTTGGAATAGCGTCGGCACGGGAGGTCTCTGGACTGAGGCGGCGGCGGCGGCTCCATCATGTCCGCGGGCGGAGACTTCGGGAATCCGCTGAGGAAATTCAAGCTGGTGTTCCTGGGGGAGCAGAGCGGTGAGTGCGCGGCTCCCCCCACTCCTGGCAGCTGGCCGTGGCTTTCCCGCACCGTTTTCAGTGCGGCCTTTTCGTCCGCGGAGGCTCCTTGCCGGCCTCACCTTCGCGCTTCGTTCCACCCCCAGCCATTCCCCGGGTTCGCCGACCTCTCTTAGCCATCGATTCTTCTTTGCCTTGATCCATCGGTCGGGTTTTGACTGTGTCCCTGACTCCACGTTTCCATTCCCCGCATCCTGGCTCTCTTCCGTCGACCTGCCCTCCCCAGTCCCCACCCCACCCCGCCCCAGGCTCCTGTCCATCCCTTTCTTCCTCTGGTCTCTCTTGTCTCACCCACCCCAGCCCCCTTCCTTGAGCCCCACCCTTATTCCTTGCTCTTATCTCAGTCGGTCAGCTCTGTGAGGCCCTTCTTGGGAAGCCCCCACTCCAAGGAACCGGCCTCTTCAACCTTGGGCAAAGAGGGTGGAATTTGGGCGTTGTTTTCCTCAGAGGCTTGAGGAAGTGTGGATCTAATGGACATGAAGGTCGTAGAAAATTCCTGAGTCGTTTTCACAGGGGTGGGGAATTAGTCTGGGTTATAGAGGATATATATCTGAATTGGAGGCGACTTGTGGATGGAGTGGTTGAGGGGTGAGAGGAGTGGTTGAGGGGTGAGAGGAGTGGCGACGGCACTGGCGATTTTTGCCCCTTGGATTAGGCCGTGGCTTGCTGGAAAACCTCATTTTCTTCTCTTTCATCTGACAATTCTTTTGGCAGTGTTGATGATTTTCTAATCTCTGCCAGATGCTATGTCATGATTCTTTTACTTGGAATTTTTTACATCTCACCTCTCCTTTTTCTTGTTTCAACATGAAGCAGTGTCTGATTCTCCTCGTGGTGCAAACAGGAATTACTGGGGAAACGTTATTCCATCTTTCCTTGAGTATTTCCCAATTATATATTTAGGATTCCTGTGAGAGAAGGCTTGAGAATTAATGAACATCTTTGGAGGATTTCCTTTGGGGTTAGGGATTATTGGAGTAGAGTAGGAATAGATCATCATCTAGTTTTTGAAATTAGATTTAAATGTGTAATACCGGTTCAGCTAAATGACTGTTATGCTTAATATTCGATAGTATCTGTTGAGAGAAATTCTCATTTACCTGGTTAGGCTTCTGTTGTCGCTGTAGTTTATATTAGATACAAGATCCTAATTCTGTGATGGCTGTCTTAAATTACTTCTTGTGGTAATTTCAAATTTTATGCTATATTACACAAACTTGACCCTTGGCAATTTAGAGATTATCATTCTTTGTTTTTCTCACACTTTTCATGACCATCTTTAAAATTTACACATTGAGAGATTAGCTTTTCCTAAGTCATCAAACATTGAATTACCCACTAGGTGTTTTAGGTTATAGAAAACATTCGTTATTTTTCTACTGGAAAGAAGATAACTGATATAAGTTGAGAGCTTTTGTTACTACCGTGAACTATTTGTACTCATTTGTAAGGCATTAAAGTAGGTTAATACTAGTTGCAAAATTGCTTTTAGTTAGACCTGAGAAATCATTTTTCTCCTTTCATACATAATCTTTCCCCCGTCCCCGCTTAGCAGGGAAAACTGTTGTCTTCTTTGAATTTTCCCGAAGTTAAGTATAAGCTTGTTTCTTTAAGTAACTTAGTAAGACTTAAGAGATTGATCTTGGTCCAGGTGTTTTATGGCAATTTCAAGACAGTGTCATGCATAAAATATAGCCTATTTGTCATTATTGATAAATAGCATCTAAAGTGCTTGTTGTGTACTCTAGGGATGTTATTGTCTGCCTTATGTTGTGATACAGAGCTATTTAGTTTGCATGAAAAATCCATTAATATCTGTCCTAGAAAGATTTTAGTATGAGATTTAGTATATAGAGATGTAATTAGTATCTGTAGGTTTCCTTTGAATTTCTTGAGTATTTATGTTCCAATTCACATAGCAGTGTTTTATGGCTTCTCATATCTTCCTTTCTTTGAGTCTTTAATAACCCCACTCCTCCCCAATTCCGAAGCCACTGTAGAGTTTTTTAAATAGACTATTTTTTTAAAAGTTTTAGATTAACAGAAAAATTGAGATGATCCTGCAGAGGGTTGCCATATAGCCCCACCCAGTTTTCTCTATTATTAACATTTTACATTAGTGTGGTACATTTATTACAATTGATGAACTGCTATTGATACATTATTATTAACTAAGTTCATAGTTTATTCAGATTTCCTTAGTTTTATCTTTTTCAGCATTCATTTCAGGTTACCACATTACATTTAGTTGTCAGGTCTACTTAGTCTCCTCTTAGAATTTTTTTTTAAGGATCATTCACATGCTTTTTAACTCAGAATTGTGAGGTAAATTATCTTTTGAGGCTACTGTATTGCTAAGTAATGCCATCCAATAGCTTTGTCAGTGAAAGATCGATTTCTGTTTTCATGGTTAGTGTCTAGTTTTCTTGTGCATTAGCAAAGGTCTATAGAATCATGTCATCTTATTGTAACTAACTCTTCATGAATTATTTATTTCTAGGTTTTAGAATTATACAATCCAGCTTTCGAAAACTGATCTATGCCAAAGCTTTGTCTCCATAGTAGCATTTATCACATTTATAATTCTTATTTTTTATGTGTTTGTTTTTGTCTGTTTCCCACATCAGAAAGCAAGTTTCATGATGATAAACTTTTTTGTGTTCATTGTATCCCCTGTGCCTAGCATAATGCCCAGTCGTTCCTAGTACATACTCAGAAATATTTGGTGAATAAATGATGATTGAAAGTAGTGGTAATCAGAGATTACTACTTAATTTTACTAATCTTTGGCATAGTGTCTATCAATCATTGTTATGGTAAGTCTGCATTTTTTCCTTCTGCAATTAATAGTTTAACAGTAACATTTTATACACTATTGGATTGTGTGCAGGGATATTGCAGATACTTAGGGGGCAGAGAACACAATAATTTATAGCCCTCACCATTTCACTAAAAAAAACAACAACAAACTTTTGAGTTGAGCAAAATTTATTTTATTAGAGTGATTGTTAAATTATTTGCTATTACTATAACACCTGAAAGTATGTCAGATGATATTAAAGACATGTCAGGAAACTGATTTGAAGTTAAGTCGACTTTCATTTAGCTTATCAAAAATTTGAGGTTCTGTGTTCTGTAATGAAGATAAGTTGTTTCACTACATGAAGTCTCAGATTGAGTTAATGACATTAGTATTGGTAATCTTCCTATAAACCCTAATGATTTCTTTATATTTTAGTGTAGTGTACATGGTTTAATAAAGGAATGTTGACATACACAATTTGAATCTGAAATGTCTTTGAGGAATCTCTTTTTTTTACTACCTGTTGCAATTGAAATACAGAGACACTTTTAGGAATGTCATAGTTTACAGTGGAAGATATTACTAAAAACAAATTTTTGTGTTACAAATTAGGAAATGTAATCTAAGGGAGAAGCACATACCTGACCTAGTACTGCTGTTTTTTCACTCTATAGTACCTTTTTTTACATTAGTTCTTTTGAATTATAATATGCTAGGTAGGAGAAAAGTATCTTACTCTCAGAGATCATGATTACAGAACAGTTTAGATTGGCTAAGATCAGTGATTTTAAACTTTTTCTTCTCAAGATTTGGTTATGCTCTTACAAATTGTTGTGTTTATGTGGTTTATATCAGTATTTACTATTTGAAAGTTAACTGAGAAAATTTTAAAATGTTTGAGAAACTTAAAAATAATAGTATTAAGCCTATTACATGTTAACATAGTCATTTTTAATGAAAAAGAACTATTTTCCAAACAAAAATTTAGTGAGAGGGTGGCATTGTTTTACATATTTACAAATCTCTTTAATGTTTGACTTATTAGAAAATATCTGGATTCTCATAGCTGCTTCTGCATTTGATCTGTTCTAATATCACACGTCATGTAGGCTCTTGGAAACTCCAGTGTACATTCATGAGAGAATAAGAGTGGAAAAAATCCAAGTAACATCTTAATGTTATGAAAATGTTTTTGACCCCCCCCAGGAGAGTAGTGGACCCCTCTGGAGGGGATCTGGGGATTGGAGGACCACACTTCGAGAGCTGCTGGGTTAGATGATAATCAAGCCAATTTGTACCTTGTAGCTTCATATTGCAAATTAGGACAGTCAAGGAGAATGTTTTCTATATTTTGTTTTGAAGCATTAAAATTAAACAGTGGAGTCTAGTGATTAATATCACAGTGTCTGGGTTTCATGTCTTAGCACTGGCCACTGACCTTGGGCAAATAATTTGACCTCTTTATGTTTCAGTTTCCTGATCTAAAAATAAAGATAATAGGACCTATCATATAAACTTATTGTGAAGATTAGTTACTAAGTATAAAACATTTAGAAGAGTGTCTGGTACATAGGAAGTTCTCAGTAAATTAACAAATGTTTACTGAAAACTGGTATTCTGTGAAATGGTTTGGTAGAGCCTACTCTTAAGAAATTCACATTTCATTGAGGAAGAAATCTATAATACTTGATACAGTATAGTGTGATGAGTGTAACAGCTTCGAAAAGTAGAGTTAAAAGGTACAGAGAAGTGTCAGGAGCATGGAGTTTCAGGGAAAGCACATTATAAATATGACTAATAGTTTAAGCATCTTTTAGTTGAAAATCTTTAATAAGAGCATTCTATAGTTAGGAAGTCATCTAATCCATTTATCTTAAGGCTTTTCCTCTAACTTTATGTGTAATAGGTAATAAAAAGACATATTTTTCAAATCAAAATTATATAAAAAGGTATATTGTGAGAATAGTTACTACCATGCCTGGTTCTGTGACTCCATTTCTCATCCCACCCCTCCTCTTAATTATATAT